AATAAGCCTCCTGTTTGCTGCACACATGTGCTTAAGACTGCCTGGAAACCAAATCAGTAGAAAAAAGGGATTACTTTAGATTACTTTGAAATGTGCATTGTTTGAAATGGCCTCTGGTGACCAGCTTTCATGAATGGCTGATTTTACTTGTGGGGCACATCATCTGGCTCAATTATACCAAGCTCTTTTGTATGACAAGTGCACTCCTTGGCTGTGTTGAAATATGAAATTCTAAAACAAAGTAAATCAGATGGTGAGAAATAAATTTAAGTAACTGTATATTATTAGAAGTTTGTAACAGTGGGCATTCTTCTTACTGAAAAATATGTGGGAATTTTGTTTTGAAACTTTCACATATTTGAAGTTAATATAAAAACATTAATTTTCATTTTCTTTAATGTTTTGTTCCACTATATTAGCAGCATTAAAATGAAATACGCGTTTTTCTTTTCTCAAAGGTAGATCATTTCTCCTACACTTGTTTATTTTTAAAATGTTATTGAGGTTTGTTGTTTCACCCTAACAGATGAAGTGTTGGAAACTTCTACCTGCTAAGAATATCCCTTAACCTGTACAAAGTTATAAAAGTGGGTTAGCAAGCCTGCATTACACTTTCAAGTCACTGCAAGCTTTTTCCTTTCCTGTCGGTAACTGTTTGCAAAATTACAATGTGAAAACGTAATATAAGGTTATGATTCTCCCTACCTGCAATTACTTTAAATTATAGTTAGTTTAAATTAATCTAGCCTGAGGCACTGAGGATCCATCATTAGAATGCACAGATTACATTTGAAAGGGGAGAAGATATCTGATTGATTAGTTAAGTGTGTTGGAAATCCAATAGATAGTGATTAGATTAGACCCAGATAGGAACTACATTCTTTGTGTTCACTGTAAATCCTGTACTTTACAACCTAGATTAGGGGATTAACCTTTAAGAAGAAATGGTAAATCTTGCTTTTTCCTGACTTCTGCTGTACTGTAATTGTGTTTCCCATGGCTGCAGGCTCAATATTCCCACAGGAAACTGACCTGCAGATTTACACAGTCGTGCCTGGTAGTCTGAGATTGCAGCGTTTGCCTTTAAATACGAGATAGAAGAGTAAGATGTGAGAAGAGCTTTAACATTGCTAAACTTAAAACAGTCGTCTGTCAACAGCTTTTTCCACTGAAGTGCTTCACTGTATTAGTGAAAGTGAGAGTTGCTATTGTTGTTGCAGGGTGTTACAACCCTCTAGTCATCAAGGCAATATGATTTAAGGGAGAGATTTAAGACCTCTGAACTACTAGGTTGCTGGGTGCAGCTGAACATCTCGCCTCCCTGACCTTTTATTATGTAGTTTCAATCTGTCAGCACAATCTTCGTGCAATTACTAATCTTATGAAGTTGCTAATTTTGTTGAGTCTCAAACCACACACTTGTCATGATTCACAGCATAGACCACGTGAGACTTGGAGAGGTCCATCCACCCTGTGACACAAACTTCAAAGATTCACAGAAGTTGTATGTGTGTGTCTCAGGAAACCCCTTTTACATTCTTTCACCTTGGAGTTTCCATGTATGCAAAATGTTCTCAAATACAGCAGCAATGTCAGGTGGACTCATCTCAATTTAAAGCATACAACTACAGTGGTAGGTGTAAACCCTGAATCTGACATTTGTAGGGTCATGGAAGGATGGAGGAAGCCACCTCCAGTTTACATGGTGCCACTGACAGTGGTCTCTGGCAGTACAGGCAGACTGGCAGGTTTTTGAAATTATGCTGAGCAGGTGCCCAGCAAAGTGACCAGTCTCCAGGGTCATATTCTAAATTACAAAACACTGACAATAGCAGAATCCCAACCCTGAATTAAGAGAGTTTTTCTAGTTGTTCTTTTCCTTTCTCTTTTTCTTATTGAAAGTCAGATTTTAAGGAAACAGAGAACACTAGGATCATGTTCCTGTAAAAAAAGCTCATTAAAGCCAAAAATGTCAAGTCAGCAGGTCAGAGGTAAGATACATAGGAAGATGCTCTTCTGCTTGAGGTGAAGAAAGAAAGCTCATTTTCTTGTGGTGATTCATATCCAAGTATTTGTTTCTTTGAGAGGTTTTATCAATTTATTTATCAGAGAAACCTATAAGAAAAAAAAATCCAAGATTATTGTTTGCATAAAGAAAATGAAAGAAAAGAACATAACTGAACACTTGCAATGACAAGGCCTTCTACTTCTTTGATGTATTTTTGTGCAATTTCCTTGCACTTGTCTGAGAATTTAAAAAATATCCTAAGTTGCAAAACATTTGTTTGTGGACTATATCCTAATTACATACAACTATGTCAATTTATGGAGGCAGGGAAATCTTGCTACAGAGACCAAATATGTAGGATCCTGTATAGTAAAGAGGAACACTGCACAAATAGGTGCTGCACTAGCAAGTTTATTGATTTAAGAACCCTGTGATACCTTACATTCTCAATTCACTGCACATATGTACTACTAATAACTGGGGAACAGAAGCCAGAATTCTCATTCTCATGTTTGCTGATGGTACAAACCTGAGGGCAGTGACTGATACACCTAAGGGCTGTGCTGCCATGGCAGGAGCTTTGGATTAGATGATCTTCAGAATTCCCTGCCAACCCTGATGATTCTGTGATTCTTAAGCTCCATTGTTACAGTCCACATTATTACTAGTATTCTTGTTATTATTACCACTCTTTCCTTTATTATCTGATCCATTTTTGTTTCAAAGGAAAGGCCACTAGGACAGTGGGCCTTAACCTATGACTTTGGATTATATAATGCCCCAATGTTCATGCTCAAAAGAAAACACTAATGCAGAGAAAACAAAGTTGTTTGCCCTTTGTTACCCCTTGGTCATGAATTACTGATGTGGGGCATTGCATAGCCCGTGGTACTGGAGAGGGACATATTTCCAGTTTCCACTTTCCAGTTTCCACTTTCCCCACATTTGATGTCAGATTTACAGACAGGAAATATGTTCCTATAATCCAAATTCCCTGTGTATGATACATGGAAGACACATTTGTAGATTATTAAATACGAATAAGTTCATATAGCTTTAAAACTTATGATGGCATATTCATGTGCATACTCAGTGCTCCGTTTCATAAACAAAGTGCATGACTCTGGGCAGATTTTATTGGCCAAACACAAAATGGCATTTTAAGTGAACTGAGTGAAAATGTGGACATAAGAACAAAGTGACAAATGCTCTTTTTTGAATACTGGCTGCCTTTTGCTGTGTTCCAAGCTAAGCACTTTCAGTCAATGCCATGAAAAATCTTGAACTGTTCTGGATCAAAATGAGTAACAAGTCTACAGACTTTCAAAAGATAGAGTTCTGCCTTTTGCTTTTCTTCTAAATCACTGAAAGATACTCTCTTACAAGACCTTGAAATAAAGTCCTCATACTTTTTTGTGCCACACCACACAAAGTGGCACTGTAGCCTTTCTTTGCAGTGCTCTGCCAGTGTAATTCAAGTTTCATGGGTAATTAATTCTCCACGCCAACAAGTCCCTGAACTGCATGTTATAATACTAGCTGCATAGAAACAACTAAAGATGCAAGTTCTTTTATTCCTTGAAAGGTGATTGCAAACTATGTATTTCTGCTCCTGTGGGGGAAAAAAATTATTTGGATTCTTCTGGTTTCATTTATCTACTAACTGCAATTTGGTTATCATAGGTATCTTCTATAAGAAAAATATACTGTAAAATTCCCATATAGAAGTTAGATCAACACTTGTTTATATGGCTAGAAAAAAAAAGCATTTTGCAGTACCATCTTGATTTCTTAACACAAAAAAATACAGTTTGCTTCCCCACGTAACTTTGAAAAGTTCTTTTTTAGAATTTCTCGTATTTTTGTCTGTTTCTTAAGACCAATTGCAGTATCTGCAGGGGCACTTATATGCTACCAGCCAGTATCCAACACAAACACTGCATCCTTGTCTTCCCTATTAATCCTGTGTTTTGGCAGTTTTCTTTACTTAAGTTCCTTCTAGGACAGGGAAACAGGCTGTAAAAGGACTAGTTGTCAAAGATCACCTTTTAATAAAGATTTACCATACGCAAACCTGAAAGATGAGCAACAAAACATGGCATTACTGTGCTCTTGTATAAGAACCATCCAATGAAACTTGGATAATTAATTTCATATGTATAAATATGTCCTGATATTTTCCTTTATCCATCAAGAATAAAAATGTTAGAGCAGGAAGAGAAACTTTCATACTCTTATTTCTAGCAAAGACCTGCCTAAGGTGCCTCAAACATGCTAGAGGAAAGGATTTTTTTTTAAATACTAATAGAGACCAGACAGGTTGAAATGAAGAATGCTTGTTAATGTCCATTTGGATTAGCATAAATTTTATTAGCTCTGAGGTGTAATTGTCAGGAGCTTGCAGTTTTGTATGATGGGGGATTATTCAAACACATTGGTGCCAATGTTTGCTCAGTGCAGTCAAGATGACTGCACTTTCTGGGTCGACATTGTCTGAAAAAGTTTGCTGTACAACTGAGGTAAGAAACTAAACATTGAGCCTCACTTCATATAGCCATTCGTGCTTTGTGATGTGAGTCAAAGTTTCGCTATTTAAAGTTCAGACATCTAGAGACATTGTATTTCTGCTTTTGCACCAAGAACATGTATCTGGTGTGTGTCAGAAGAAAACTGACTTCCCTGGTAACCCCGGTCTTTGGGGCTCTTGTCAGATTTTATGTGACTTAAGAGCATATACATGGAAATTGAACTATTTTTAAAAGTCCATCCAGGCTAAGTACAGACTTCCAGTTACTTATCTGAATGTTGTGTAATCACTAAAATGGCACTTGCTGTTCGATGGTGATCCCCTGTATTGACTTTGCAGTGCTGTAATGTTAGCGGAAGGCTGGAGTGTTGGTTGGTGCAGAGACAATGAAAGACAAGTTTTCTCTGCCACAGACACTTGGGTTTTCCTTTTAAAGACATTCACACTCTTCTGGTGTAATTACAGCCTGCCAGAGTGAGGAGCATGAAACTGTTTAGCTTGCGAAGCTTAAAATAAAAGGTGTATGTGGAAACAAGAACACGATCCTTTTTCTAGCAGTCCAGCACCAAGTCCCATCCCCTCCCTCTGCTGTGGCTTCTTCCCCTGAAATTTAGAGCATCTCCCTATTAACACATTTTTAGGTGAGTGATTGGAGGCCCCTTTTGTCTTCTGTGTCGCTCTCATTATTTCTGTTTATTAATCTGTTTGTGGCTCATGTTGCATGTCTGAAGTCTCAGGTGTGGGTGCACAGATCTCGTGATTTATGCTCCAGTCTAATTATGTAAGGCGCACCCCAGTTCCCATGCGGTGTTCCCCTTGGGCAAACTTCTTGATTGTTCTTGGGCTTGGGTGGTTTTGCGAGGTTTTTTATAATTGACCAATATCACCGTGCTTTTATCCAGAGTCCCAGAATAAAACCAGGACAAATGTATGTGGCAGGTCAATACCCCGGAGGGAACAGGCATGACTCCGTGGTTTCTTTCCCACCCCCTTCCTTTTTGCCCCCAGATATTCCCTCCCTTCCCTTGTGTTACAGACGGGTTTTGCAGAGCTTCAGTCAGTAATGCCAAAAATGTCAAAGTGTAAGTGGCTACCCCTTCCTCTCCAGACCAATCAGTCATTTTCAGTCACTGGTTTAAATGTGCTGCAGCAAAGCCAAGCCTGTGTGCTTGCAGCAGGTCTTACAAAAGCAAGGCTGTTTGACTGACAGGCACGGAGAGGGGGCTCTGATAAGGCACTGAGACAAGTCTGAAAGCGCAGTATCAAGGACGAGGCTGTGGCAGAGCTACTGTGCATTATGGATGAGGCGCTCAACTCTGGTGCTGATTGATGGAGGGACGGTTGTGCTCTTTCACAATGCTGGGTAAGATCATATGGACCGTCATTTAATATGAGCCTTCTTGGCAGTGGGAAAATGACTTTTCACACAGTGATCCCATGCAGATTGCAAATGACAGCCATGCTCTCCCCTCTGCTTTTTAAGGGTTTAGTCTCTCATGCAGGTGGGTTAACCTAAAACAGCATCAGTGCTTGCCAGGTGTGACATGCTGGAATTAATGCTTTTCTCAGAATCTCACCACAAATTTGACCATAAATATTGGAATAGCACCTGTGTCTGATGATGTGAGATACATGTCCTTTATCCCTAGCAGCCAAGGTGCCATCCACCCCCTGCATAGGTATGATATTAAATTAAGCAGGGGAGTCATGGAGAATGCAATTTTTTTCTATTCTATTCTTTCAGGACAGAGAAAGAAGCTGTAAGAAACAGTTCTGGAGACTTTGAAGCACAGCCACAGTACTGAGGTCTCTGACTGACAAGCCTTCTGCTTTCTTCTTCTCCCAGGGCTCCTCCTACAGATGTTCTGAACACGTCTGCATCCCAGCAATTTTTTACTGCGCCCAGGTACTGAATGTAAGGAACCAAGCTGCATAAAAAGAAGCGTGGGGTGTAGGAGAAGGAGCACTGTGGGGAATTTACCAGAAGTCATGTCTATACAAAATGCAGGCATGACTTCAAGCAAAAATTATTTGAGAGAGCATAGTTACAGAATGACCGAGTTTATTCTTAGAAAATGACAGAATAAAGCTCTCATTGAACAATATGTCTTATAATCATGTTAAATGGTATGTGTCAAGCTTGACTTCCCTAAGTGCCATCCTTTCAATGTATGACTGGAAGTTTATTTATTGCTTGAACAGAATCTCTCTTCCTCCCTACAGGTCTTGAAAACTAGAGTTCAGGAACTTCTGGATCAGTCTTTTCATTGAAATACTGGAACTACTATGAAGCCTTCTTGGTTTGCACTCATGTTGGCAGTGCTCAGTACTGAAATGCTAACAAGTCACTGTTCCACCATCAAGTCCCCGAGGTTCAGAGGACGTGTCCAGCAGGAGCGAAAGAATATCAGACCAAATATCATCCTTGTACTCACAGATGATCAAGATGTGGAGCTAGGTGAGAAATTATTGTTGTTTGCTACTACATTTTGGCATGTGTCTTTCAGTAGTTTATGCCAAGCAGAAAGAAATATAAATTCAGGGATGTTGATGGTCCTGGAATAGTATCAGAATGTGGGGCAATTTTGGAAAATGAGTTAACATTATTATTTAATGGCATTCATCACATTTAGTTATAGACTTTAGGAAATATAAGCTTATCAAAATCCACCATTGTAAGTTTTAATCAAGACAACATTATTTAGTAATGCATGCAAGGACATACGTGTAAAAAACTTGCACCAAAAGCCTTTTTTCACTCTATGACTTTTTGTAGCATTCAGAAATCGGAGCCTTATGAGGCCAGCATTTCCCTAATACAGGTGTCTGTATCTCCACATATTTGTCACAGGGATGTATGTCATCTGACATACTTATCCACAAAGACAAACTGGTCTAGTTTCAGGATTTAGTAATCTTAATATTTGTATGAATTACTGAAGTGTTTAAAATCCATCTGCTTTAAGTACTATGCTGTATGTATAAAAACATGGTAGTTTTGCTTTCATAAGTATACTAAATATCTGAGCACATACCAGTCAGTGATTTTCACATATTTTTCTTAGGGTGGAAAAAGTTAAAACACTTAGATGATGTTCCAGGAGGCCTTTGAATGTTTTCCATTAAGTAAGTTAGAAAGATATTAATGGTAGTTATGCATATAACTGATTTTTTGGTTCACTGCCCAAAATGAAAAATCAAGGAGAGAAAGAGGATCATTTTAAGTTACCCCCAAGCAAATATTTTGGGTTGGGAGATCAAAAAGGTGAAAAAATGGCAAATTAAGTTGAAATGAAATCTTGCATTCTTTGCTTTTTTTTTTTTATGAGAGACATATTTTTAATAGAAGTATAGTGAATTTCTAGACAAAATGCCATAAGACATTGAAAAATAAAAACTGCTTTATTCCAGAAAACTTCATTTGTTCTAAAATCACATACTTTCAGACAGAAGATTGTAGGCAAAATATGGTCTGTATCTAAAAGCAGTTCTTTGGTTGCTAGCATTTTTGTATTTGCCATGATACAATAATAATTTCATAGTCCTTCAGGGTTCTGAGAAGATAATTAATAAACTATATTTCATGACTGAGGGTTGCTGCTTTTATGCAGCAGAGCTCCAGACACAGGCCTTTATATCTGAGCAATTCTTTTATTATTTTTATTATTTATTTTCACTCTTTAAAACCTCTGCTCTGTTTAGGCATGCTGCATATTGAATAGCTGTTCCCAGTTCTATTTTTGGTCTAAAAGACTGTTCTTTTGATGGGAGTGCATTTCATCTTGGTGGAGTCGTTCTGAAAAATTTTGTTAAAAGGGTCAAATCAAGTTTTCCTTTTTGTGGTCTGAAAGATCCTACTCTCTCCAGGGCACTCAGAGCACTGGGGAAGGTAGGTCAGCAGACACAGATCTCTGAACACAGCGTTACCAACTTGCTGTCCTCAGTCTTGTGAGAAGGTGTGCGAGTGCTGAAAAAGCAGGAAGGATGTGGCGAGTCACTTTGTTCGTCCTGCGGAGCTCTTCTCTTTGGAAGCTGCTCTGAATGCTCACAGGGCACTCTGGCTCCTATTAGCAGGCAGCTGAGCAATAGCCTGGGTGTGTGTGCATTCCCACTGTCTTGAATGAACACACAGGTTTCCCCTTTTCATAGATCATTTCACAGGAAACAGCATTCAGCCCCAAGATTTACTGTACTGCATTATTCACACTTCTGCTAATAAATCATTCTGCTTATTTGAAAAATAAAGCCAAACTGTTTTCCATGTGTGAATTTTCCTCTTGCTCTTCATTGATTCCTGAGAAAAGTCTTAAATTTCTCAAAGGTCAGTGGCAAGTAACACTTTCTGCCACAAACAGAATAAAACTTAGGCATTGGTATCCAAAAATCACAAGACTGAAAGTCACTGAATATGGATTATTTGCAATTGTATTCCCAGCATGAACATTTCTAAAAGCTATTCTAAATGAATGCTTTAACATAAAAGCATATAAGGTGCATTATAGACTTCAGTAGGGAAGGATTTGTCTCCAGAGCTTGTATAATCATTGAACCACAATATTCATCTGACTGAGTGCAACTGATATATAGAGGAGTCATCCAGAATAAAATTTGGAAGAGGCAGGGAGGTTGCATTTAGTTAGTGCTCAAGGCATAAAGGTATGCACATCTTCCTATTGATCTGCACCATCCCCCTGAGTTTTGCATTTTGAGAGCAAAGAAATTCAGCAGAGTTGCTGTCTCATTCACTTTATTAGATAAACCCAACAAATTGCCCCACAACTTCAGCCACTTCCTATCTATGCAAGGAGAAAGGATATTCTAGATCAGCTGGTGGATTGCACCTTTAGCTGTGTGAAGCAGCCTGGCCCACAGCTCTTGAAGAATCTCAGCAAATACTTGGGCTCAGAAGGTATTTTACTGCTTAAATTGTGCCACTATGCACTGTCTTTACCCTACCAAGATCCTGAGGGTAGAGAACTCACTCTCCAATGAAGGGGCATCTTGCTCAAGGCAAAGCTCCCAGAGCCCAGAACTTCTTCCCTCCTGCAGACAGCATGCTGTGGCTCTTCAGGGCAGTGGCCCAGCTGCCACTGGGGTCAGGCCCATATCCTCTTTAGTCCAACATTCTGCTTGCCTTTTGGTCTCTTCCCCTGTCCTCCCAATTCTCTGTTATTTGCACACATCAGTACCTCCAAATATGACACCCCAATCACTCTTATAGTCCTCACTGTAAAAAATATCTTGCATAATGTCAGAAAGGAGTAAAAACTAATCAGTATCTTGGTATTACAGTGGGTTTGACCCTTTTTTACAGCCTAATGCACCACCCAGTGAAATCCATAGAAACCAGCTACTGAATAGAGCACTGGCTAAAGAGATCACAGCATCATCTAAATACATCACATCAAGCATAATTTGCCTGGTGTGCTTTCCATCTTCCCTAGAACTAGAGCACTAAAAAGCATAAGCCAAAAAAATGGGGATGTGTGCTGAGATCTGAAAAAGTCCATTACATTCCTGGGGCCTTGCATACAGCCCCTATAAAGACAGGGTTGCCCACCTGTGATGAAAATCCATAACAACTTTAAAGACCTGATACCTTGGTTGCCAAACATATTTCTTGAGGGATGAGAGTAGACTGAGAAGTGACACTGAACTTCTTGTCTGACAAAACTCACTAACTTTTGTGTCCAAAGTGGCCATTCCCAGTTATCTGGCTGCCCTCAGGTGCTCCCCAACCAGTCATGTAGAGAGTGAGTGTCCTGCTGACAGACAGTGTGCCCTGAAGACTGTGGGCCAGATGGTGAAAAACACAAGCTGTGAGGAGAGCCACAGACAGCAAAGGATTATAACTTATATCAGCAAGTTTTATCTCCTGTTTGTGTTTTGTTTTCCAAATGAGGAAGTCTCACCTGCTTTGAAGTGCCTGTTCCAGAATTTCCAGAGGGGCTTAATCTATTATCAGTGTCAGTAAGTGCATACCTGGAGGGAAAACTTAGTCATAAACAGCAGGTTTGCAAGAGCAGAGGGCTGACCAGCTGGAGGAATGAGGAAGCACTCTAACAGCTACTCATTTATAATACATGGAGGCAGGAAAGTGCAGATCAGCTCTGCTGCAGTTACTGTGCATTAGGGTACCTGAATAGCCCACTTTTATCCAAGCACCTCCATGCATTTTACAGCTGAGTTCTCAGGAAAAAAACTGTGATTTTTCAAAAGTGGAAGAGCTCTGGTGAAAACAGAACAAAACAAAAACTAAAAAGTCAGCCTGAGGTCCAAGATAAAAGCATGTAGAATGAGGATGATCTCTCATTTGTCTTTTACTTAACAACTCAGTGAAATGCTCCTACTCATGTAAATGGAGACCTTTTGTGTTCAGGGACCTCTCAGTTACTCTTCTTCTTTTCTATATCCCTAAGCACATGGTGTTCAGGAACGCACAAATGCAGATATTCTGCATTTAGAAAATAAGGGCTATGAAAGACAAAGAGTCCAATGGTGACTTTCCTACACAGTATTAAATGTATCATTAAGGACAGAGACCCTGGCATTTTAAAAGAAATGCTGAAGACCCTACTGCTCCTTCCATATTTTAAACAATTTTTTTACACAAAAGTCTTCATATTCAGCACTGACTCATTGGCCTAAAACCAAAACACAGCATGCTTAACTTTAACTAGTAAGATAATTTTTAAGATTTTACTGCTAACATCTAAAGTTGAGTCTCCTTGGGAGTTTCATGGTTTTACAGGCAGGTTTGCAATTGCTTTAGAACATTTTTAATTTGACTTTTAAGCAACATAAAACCATCAAAAAAAATTCTTGTTGTATCAGAGGAACCAACAGATTCAAATGTAAAGGACAGCCAGCTGTGCAAAAAACCAAAGGAAAAAAAAAGGAAAATAAAATTCCATAAATCTTTTTTTACCACCAACATTGTGCAAGTACTGCAATTCACAGACTTGTTTCCTAGGCACATACTGACATATCCACAATTCACCTCCAACCTTCAATCTCTGCTCTGTTGGATAACATAAAGAACAAACTTTGACAGCTGTCAGCAAATACTGACAGACTCTATCCAGGGCTGCTCAGCCTTTCTGCAATCAGAAATCTGTAAGCCCTGCCTGTCTCATCTTGCAGTTCATGAAGATGCTTTGAAGGATGAAAAAAATGTCTTTGTTCTTTAAACAGTATCAATGCAATTTCTTGAGAAAGGCACTGCATTTTTGCGTACATTTTTACATGATACATTATTTTGAGCACAGTGCTTTAGTGTCAGAATCAGACATGCTGATCTTGTGTCCACAGAAACTTTCCTTTAGAAAAATTTCTACTGAATTCTCTCCTTCCTTCTTCTGTCTCTCACTCCTTCCTTTACTCCCTTCCTCTCTCTATTTCTCTCTTTCATCTGTCATCTGATAAAATTGAAAGAGTATAATCATTTTCATTGGTGATCTCAGTATTTTATGTATTTTACTAGCTTATTGACTAATAATTCAGTCTGTATAGCATATTGCTCTTCTACAGCTGCATTTGGAAAACTATTGACCTCTAAATTTGATACAGCTTTACTATTTCTAGATTAGTCCATATTTTAACTTTGTTTTGAAGTCTTGGGAAAAAAATAATTCAATCTTTCTGGAATCCTTATAAGTATTTTTGTTGGTATAGTAAAAATGTGGTGTTTTCTCCTAAAATTAACAAAGCTGCAGAGTGAAGCACACTGATGTTCAGAGGCAAGGTAATCACCGACACTTTATTTTTAACAGCATAATAACAGCCATATATTCAAACTGTCTTTAACAGCACAGTGGTGATCAGTACCTCTTATTGCAGGGTCCTTGCAAGTGATGAATAAAACCAGGAGGATTATGGAGAATGGAGGGGCCTCTTTCATCAATGCCTTTGTGACTACCCCCATGTGCTGCCCATCTCGCTCCTCCATGCTGACTGGGAAGTATGTGCACAACCACAACATCTACACCAACAATGAAAACTGCTCTTCCCCCTCATGGCAGGCTACTCACGAGCCTCGCACCTTCGCTGTGTACCTCAATAACACTGGGTACAGAACAGGTAAGAGACAAAGCAAATTCTTCCTTTAAAGTGAAGATGGCATATTCAGCAATTCCTTTTAGGTCACTGCCTGAAATGATTGGCTGTTCTTGGCTGTGGTGGAGTTCATTTTCTGCCTAGTAGATGCTGTAGTGCTTTGTCTTGGATTTAGCGTGAGAATAATCCTCATAACACAAGAAAGTTTTTAGTTGCTGCTAAGTAGCGCTTATACTAAGTCAAAATTTTTTAGTGTCTCATGCCCTGACACCAAGAAAGCTGGAAGGGCACAAGAATTTGGGAGGGGACACAGCTGATCTAAACCAGCCAGTGGGATATTCCATACCACAGGGCATCAGCCTCAGTACACAAACTGGGGAAAAATTGGCTAGAGGATGCTGCTTAGAAACTGGTTGGATATTGGTAAATGAGGAATGAACAATTCTATTGTGTATTACTTGCGGGTTTGGGAGTTTTTTGTGGGGTTTATTTCTGTCTCTTAGTTTTTTGTTTCCGAATATTATTATTATTATTATTATTATTATTATTATTATTATTATTATTATTATTATTATTATTATTATTACATTTAATTTAAATTCCTAAACTGTTCTTTTCTCAAGCTGTGGATTTTACCTTATTTCCTTTTCTCCTCCTCATCCCTGTGTGGGGAGTGAGAGAGCCACTGAGTGGTACTTAGATGCTGACTGGGGTTAAACCACAAGAGGAGCAACTGTTGTCCCAACCTGGCTGTGCAGGACAGAGTTTGAAGATTATGGAGAGGGAGGGTAGTACTGCCTGCGGTTCCACATCTGCAGTAGCAGCCAGGTGAAGAAACCCACTGGTAGTGAAGCAGCATATTTTCACATTTGGAAGTCCCAGGTGGGAAATAATCTGTTGGGCAGTTACACCTACAGTGAAAGAGGTGCATTTTAGTGGCATTGTGGGTCTGAACTGGCAGTTCCAGGCGTGATTATGGTCAGTATTATGTCCTGCTTGTGGACAGCTGCTAGCAGTTATGGAAGAAGATGTCAGGGCCAGGCTGGGAACTGGTGCCAAGGACCTCACAGGAGTGGAGGGACTGTCATGGGAGCAAAACAAGGTGAATAGTATAATTTAACCTTTGCCGTGGGGTGATAATTCATTTGCATTTTCTGAAAAGGAGTAGAAAGTACCTTTAAAGGATTGTTCTACTGTGCACCAATAAGATTTGATAGTTTTCTTGTAAATTCCTGGTGGTTTTCCGTAGTCAGGAGATCCCTTTCCTGTCTACAAAGAGCTCTTCTTATTCCTCTCGTCTGTGCTTCAGCTTGATGTAAAACTCAATTCATTTCTGCATCACCTATCCCCAAAGATTGAAACTGTAGACACGTCAGGCTCCAGCCTGGCTTCCCCTCCTCAAGGTTACGGAGTTGTGCAGGGTTGTCAGAGTGCAATTTGTCCAGAAGTGTCGTTCAGCTACAAAGAGTCCCCTTTAGAGAGCAAGGAGGCACAGATCTCCTGCCAGCTGCCTTCCTTACAATGTAACTGGCAGCAGAGAAACTTGTTTCTATCGGCGGCTTAGGCACAAGAAGGGATTTCTTTCAAAATACAGAGCTGGCAAATGTCTCCATGCGGTCTGCTAGTCCTAAATCTCTTAAAGCTGCTACATCCAATGCCGCAAGTTTATCTGCCTCTGTGCTATCTTTTGTTCACCACACAGACAGTTCACTCTTTTTAATTCTGTCTCTGCATCTCTAGCTCTGGAGAACTGCTTCCTGGATTGAAAACAAAATCAGACACACCTTTAACTTTTTTGGGCTTGGTGTTGGCTCTGACATGTGAGCTGAATAGTACTTCAGTCTCTATTAAGCTGGTCTCAGTGAAGTTGCCATCTGAGTTCAGCATGCTAAGCCTGGGTGGGGGTCAGCATCAAGGCTTTGGAGGAGAAAAGGAAGGAAGAGTGAATTGGCTATCACTATTAGAAAAGGTGCTGAATTGACCTAAAATATAAGCTTTATCTCATGACTTACATCTCAGAAATCTTTTCTGCTTGATATATGGCTGCTTCGGCTGCTTCGTGTGGAACCTGGCTTTAGTGTTCTTAAAAAAATGAGTATCGGTTTGTCATCTACGCTTTGCACATCTAAATGCTTCATAGATAAACAGGACAGCTCTGTCACTAGCCCTTTCTGCCCCTCTGAGGGTAAACACAGCTTTGAGCATATCTCCTGCACTGCCTTGTGTTAGGAAGGCATGTGGAGATGCTTACTAAATGCAGACTTGACCCTACTACATAGAAAGGAAAAAGGGGTCAAAAGGAGAGGAACAGGAAAAAAGTACTTTTCAAAGGCAGGCAAACAGAACATCAGTCCTAAAACTGTCAGGATAGGTGAGTTTTAACAAAGGGCAGAAAAGAGTAGAAAAGGGAAACAAATGGAAATATCTGCATGAATCTTCAATTCTGAAGGAGGTACATTGTTCAATCCTACAATAGTATGGCTGCAAAGATTTATCTTTTTACTCCTTGTAAGATGAGCCTACCTTCTAATTAAGGCACAATTATTTTTTGAGGTGGCAGCTTAATTAACAGCAGATCTCATAATACATTTCTCAAGGATAGTGTTGCCTTATTAAAAAGTCACCAAAAGTCTGCTAGCCAAGTAATAATCTACACTTCACAGCTAGAAAGTTGAGTAAAATTATAATGACTCAAAAATACCTGGAAGTCAAGAATAATTGGGAGTGAAAATGAGGAAACTGTGGAGAGAGGTTGCAGATGTTATAGATACTTACTGTGCATTTCTACGTGTTTTGACAGTAAATCAATAACCTCTTCAATAGGAAACTGAGACATACAAAGAGAAGTGAATGACTGAGGCCAGTCACAGTTTGGTGACAGTCCTGATAAGGCACCTGGCCAGAGAGCTCCAGGCTGGATGAGACACTGTACAATACTTCCAACCTGGTACTCTGTAATAATGATAATTTTGGGTTTTTTTGCATAGGATCAAATTAATACATAGCAATGGCAATACAGGGATGGGAGAGCATTTCTATAATGTCCTCACTTCTGTTTGCTCCAAACAGTTTTCCATATCTATAAAACATCCATTGTCTAAACCTGCAGCAGCCCTTTCTAAGCCCCCTCTATTGCAATTGATAACATGTGGGCAGGCTGTTATGAGGGGAGTTCTGCTGAAGCCACGAGGACTCCACACAAGCACAGCAGGCCCTTTAAAGTGAGGTCTGAAACGTGCTCTAATAAACTGCAGTTATAATTAGAGCCCACTGGGGAAACCTGGCAGGGGACAGAATGGTTTTTTCTTTCCTTTTTCTGTTTTATTCTTCTGCTCTCATGTGACCTAAGGGCAACGTTGCATTTCATGGAAATGTCCCTTTTTGAAGATTGTATGTCAGTGCTAAATCATAGGCAGACGCTGTGCTGGACACTAGCAAGGCAGGCAGCACTCAGAAACAATACTGGACAGTAGCAGGGCAGACAATATTCAGAAATAACACTGCTGAACCAAAACCACTTTTGCTTCTAATTATAATTTTACAAAACTATTAAGGATGTTTCAGTGTTTACAGTTTCCCTTATTCACAAGGTGTATGTTAATGCAGCAGTGAACCAACTGCACAGCTTCTGGATTGTCCACAAAACTGCTAATATTAAATTTGAATTTGTAGGACATAGCAGGGAAGGCACGCAGTAAAGAGGTAGAAAGAGAAAACAAAGCAGCTCTGGAGAGTTTCAGTGATGACATTTGTTTTAATTACATAGGATCCAGGAAGTCACACTAGAGAGGAGAAAGGGTCCCTCACTTTCAATTTTTTTAGAAATTGTGAGAAATGTTTGAGAAGTTTTCTTTCATCTCATAGTTTTTAACATCAGTATATATTCCTTCAGCTATTTAGATTTAGAAGTTTAATTCATAAATTTATTAACTGCAGGAGTTGGAGATTTTGCTTTGTGCTTTCCAAAGTATTGGCTGGTCATTTGCTGTTCTTTCAGTCTCATAATTTCTTTAGCTTCTGCTGCTCTGTCCCAGTCCTACGGCACGTATTCTTGCCTCTCAGATGTGCCCTTTGCTGTAGCTGGTTCCCTTTGCCATCCACCTACACAAACACAAAGGAAAACCCCAGAAGTGCAACCTTGGCTTCATTAGTAGGAAAGGGGGATTGTGCTACATCTTAATAATTGAGCAGCAGCCAAGCATAATCTTGGTATTTCAGAAGACAAACCATCACATGAGAACAACCAACATTCAGAAGATATAAATAAATAGAAGATTGTCTTTTTAAGTAGTGGGTCATACTTTGCATACTGCAGGATTTTACATTTTTACCAGCCAAAGTTTCATCCCTTTGCAAACATGAAAAGAAGTATAAGTTTAAAATTCTTACCCTGTCTTAACACACCTACACACTCTAAACCCTCTCTGCTTAATGTTACTTTGTAGAATTAGTACTCTCTAATCCTCTCTCCTCTTAGCCCTTCGCAGCCAGTGTAACTGGGCAGGAGGGAGCAGGACTCTGCCTTGTCTCAGCAGCTGCTGACAGTCTCACAGCACCATGCCAAACACAGCACCAGGCTCTCCCTTCATGGAATCCCACCTGAAAGAACAGGGACCACCAAATTAGGCAATTATTTGCTTGCACTTTCTGGAATTGTCTTTGGGAAGATGTATTTCCCAGGATTTCATCTCTTGCTCAGATGTATCTACTGGTTAGAATAACATTCAAGATTCATGCATGGGACTGCTCTGATGTCATTTGTGGGACAAAATTGGTAACATGCAAAGTTAAGCAGCTCAAATGTTCATTCCTAAATGGCTTCATTTCTAAAACTCCAAACTCAAGAAGTGACACTAAGATGACCCTGTCTGGCATGTTTTGACATTAGTCACAGACTTGTGTGCAGTGATGAGCAGAAGTGGTCACTTGGTTGACAACTGGCTAATGTGTTCAACAGCACATGTCAGTGTGCCCATTGACATCTGTCACTTATGGGTACATTTCTTAGTGTAATGAACAAAGAA